TGGAGTCACAGTTAGACAGGGCAGTGAAGGAGGCTTTTGGCACATCAGCCTTCATCAGTCAAGGTACTGAGTATAGAAGTTGGGAAGTTGTAGTGCAGTTGTACAGGACGTTGGTGAGGCCACACTTGGGAGTATAGAATTCAGTTTTGGTCACCTTGCTATCAGAAGGATGTTATTAAACTGGAAAGAGTGCAGAAGAAATTTACAAGGATGTTGCCAGGACTCAAGGGACTGAGTTATAGGGAGAGGTTGGGCAAGCTAGGGCTTTTTTCTTCAGCACATAGGAGACTGTTGGGGCATCTTATAGAAGTGTATAAGATTATGAGAGGCATGGAAAGGGGGAATGCACTCAGTCTTTTTCCCAGGGTTGGGGAATCATGGACTAGAGGGCATCAGTTTAAGCTAAGAAGGGAAAGAATACATGGTAACCTGAGGGGCAAATTTTTGTTTTAAAAACAGAGGGTGGGACACATATGGAATGAGCCACCAGCAGGAGTGGTTGAAGCAGGTATATTAACAACATTTTAAAAGGCATTTGGACAAATACATTACTAGGAAAGGTTTAGGAGGCCAAGTGCAAGGACATGGGGTTAGCGTGGATGGACATTTTGGTTGGCATGGACCCATTTTGGCCAAAGGGCTTGTCTCCATGCTGTAGGAATCTATGACTCTATTGCCCCATAACTCTCCTATTCCAGAAAAACTACTGCTTTTACCTCCAATTTCAACTAATGTAATTGCAAGAATTTCACACAAATATGTGGGCTGAGAAGACAGATGTAGATGGCACAAGAGTCTACTGACAAGAGTAAAAGATACATGAAATTTAAATTTGCATTATCACAAGTATACACAGTTTTATAAAAATAATTTTTGCCTCAATTACATGCAGCTCTGGACACAAGTGCACAGGAAATTCAACTTCAGGATCGTGCTGAAAATTTTTTTTTGAATAAAAGGCAACAAATCAAGAGATGGGATTGAGATTCATATCCCAACAAAACTTGGATCAATTCAAAAATTGAGCTTCCATGAAGACTTAAACTGAGGAAAAAATGAATTCACATTCAAGACTGCTTTTGGACTTTGAGCATTTAAGTTGGGAATGGATATCTGAGAGTTACGTTGACAGAATTGATCAACCTGTTTAGAGTTGCTATCACGCATGTCTGGAGCAAGTGGGGAACTGGAACCTGCGCCTCCCAGTGCAGGCGTGGGGACACTACCACTGCCTAATGAACCTACTAATAAATAGCATTCACATAACTTTTCTTTAGTTTTCGCTCAGAAGTCTGCTAAATCAATTGACGCAGGGTATCCAAATAATGTGATTTTCTTGGATTTCCAGCAGTCAAGTCACAAAGCTTAATGGTGTTATGTAAAGAAAAATATTTCCATTTGTGCAGCAACTTTCACAACCCCAGAACTTCAAAACTCTACAGTCAATGTACTTTCAAAGTACATTACAAAAGTATGCCATTGTGGGATCATAATATTTACACCTCATTGCCAATTTGCAAATAGAATGATCCTAGCTGATGGGAAACCAGATCCAGACTGAAATCTTATTTGATATATTATTTAATGGTGGTCTTTCACTCAAATCTGGTTTCAATAATGAAACAGAAGCTTATTATACAAAATAAAAGGTAATAAGCCTACTTAACAATTGTAAAGATTTTTGCACATACAGAAGAGGCATTCTATCCTAACAGAAGAGGCATTACACTACTTAAAATTCCCTTCTCTATCACATGTATAGAAATAGAGAAAAGAGTAGACCATTCGGCCCTTCAAGCCTGCTCTGCCTTTCAATATGATCATAGCTGATAAACCAACTCAATACCCTATTCTCATTTTCTCCCCATAACCTTTGATCCCTTTAGCCCCAAGTACATATCTAACTTTTTTTTGTTTTGAAATCATACAATGTTTTGGCCTTGACTGCTTTCTGTCATAGGCTCACCACTGCCTGGTGAAGAAATTTCACATCTCAGTCCTAAATGGTTTAACCCTGCATCATTAGGCTCCATTGGACTCCACTGTTATCAGGAACATCCTTCCTGCATCCAACCAGTCTAGTCCTGTTAGGATTTTATAGGTCTGAAAGATTAGTCAAGATAGCATCAGCATTCACAAAGACAAATTCTTCAATTTCTGGTGGACCTTACCATACCAGTAAGATTCAAATCAGTTTTGATAACATGATGGTTACTAAATTAATTCTTCCACCATTCAACTAGATCGATCACCCCAGGCGCAGTAGTTAGTGATGTAGTAAAATAGCAAACACAAACAATGGGCCTCAAAAGCAAAGCAAATAGTATTCCCTCAACAATTTTTGCCACAAATTGAGGGGTACAGGGACAAACAAACAGTGATAAGTTAAAACAGACATCAGTATGATTTCACCATGAAAACAAGTATTGTGATCAAAATACCGATGTTATGGAGCAGCATCCCATATGTACAAAATAGGCTTTACCTTTTTAAAAGGTAGCACGGTCTTGTCATGTGGAAATGGGCATGACTATTATTATTGTAACAGTACACTAATATGAAAAATGGGCCTCTGGAGCCATTTCTGCTGCTGGCAGACAATTAAATACCAATTACAAAAGAGAATTACGGCACAGGAACAGGCCCTTCAGCCCTCCAAGCCTGTGCCGATCATCATGACCTGACTAAACTAAAAAAAACAACCTTCTGCCCTTATTCAGTCCGATTCCCTCTATTCCCTCCCTATTCATCTAACCATCCAAATGCCTCTTAAGTGTCAACTTGCCTGCTTCCAACACTACCTCTGGCAGTGCATTCCAGGTTCCACCACTCTCTGCATGAAAAACTTTCCTCACACATCTCCTTTAAACTTTGCTCTCTTACCTTGAACCTGTGCACTGTTGTAATTGAAACTTCAACCCTTGGAAAAAGCCTGACTTATCTACCCTATCTATGCCTCTCAATTTTGTAGACCTCGATCAGGTCTCTTCTCAGCCACCTTCTTTCCAGTGAAAACAATCCTAGTCATTTTAACCTTTCCTCATAGCCAATGCCCTCGAGATGGGGCAACATCCTGCTGAACCTTTTCTGCACTCTCTCCAAAGCTGTGTCCCCTTTTGGACATGTAGCGACCAAAACTGCACACCATACTCCAAATGCAGCCTAACAAGGGTTTTATATAGCTGCAACATGTTTTGCCAACTTTTATAGTCCAGGCCCCAGCCAATGAAAGCAAGCATGCCATATGCCTTCTTAATCACTTTGGCCACCTATATCACCACTTTAAGGGAACTGTGGACCTACACACCCAAATCTGTCTGTATGTTAAAATTCCTAAGGCCTCTTCCATGAACAGTATAATTCACACCTAAATTTGATCCTCCAAAATGCATCACCTCACATTTGCCTGGATTAATCTCCATCTGCCATTTCTGTTCCTAAGTTACCTATCTATATCCTGTTGTATCCTTTCACAATCATCAGCACTAATCAGCCACTCCACCAATCTTTGTGTCACCTGCAAACATGCTAATCAGACCCACCACATTTTCCTCCAGATCATTTATATATCCTACCAAACAGAGGACCTAAGGACTGATCCCTGTGGAACACCACTAGTTACCAGTCTCCATTCTGAAGAACACCCTTCCACCACTACCCTCTGTCTTCTATGACCAAGCCAGTTTTGTATCTATCTAGCCAGCCCACTCCAAATCCTTGATTTTAGTTTTTGTACCAATCTGCCATATAAACTACATCCACAGCTCATCGCTCATCGATTATCTTTGTCACTTCTTAAAAAAATTTGATCAGGTTGGTAAAGGATGACCTTCCAGTCATGAAACCATACTGCCTGTTGCTAACTAGTCCATTTTCTTCCAAATGTGCATATATCCTGTCCCTCAGTATCTTTTCCAAGAGCCTATAAATTTCCTGCATTATCCCTGCTTCCTTTCTTAAACAAGGGAAAACATTGGCTAATCTCCAGTCCTCTGGAACCTCACTTGTGGTCGAGGAGATGTTAAGATATCTGCTAATGCCCCAGCTATTTCTTCCCTTGCCTCTCTCAGTAATCTGGGACAGATCCCATCTGGCCTTGGGGACTTGTCTACCTTAATGCAACTTAGGATACCCAAAACTTCCTCCTTTAATATACTGGCATTCTCTCGAGTGTTCACATACTCATCCCTGACATCAACATCAGTCATGTCCTTCTCCTTTATTGATTACCGATAAAAAGTACTTATTGAGGATCTCTCCCACATCCTGTGGCTCCATGCACAAGTTCCCTCCTTTGTCCTTGAAGGGGCCTACTCTTTCCCTTTCTACCCTCTTTCTTCTAATATATGCATAAAAAAGCCTTGGGATTCTCCTTGACCCTGTTTGCTAAGGACACTTCATGGCCCCTTTTAGCCTTCCTAATTCTGCATTTAAGTTCCTTCCTAATTTCTCTGTACTCAAGGGCTTTGTCAGTTCATAAGCTTCCTTTTTCCTTTTGACTAAGTTTACAATTTCCCTTATCACCCATGGTTCCTGGATCCTGCCATTCCTATCCTTCAGTTTTGCAGGGACATGCATGTCCTGCACTTTAACCAACTGGTCTTTAGAAGCCTCTCATGCCAGACATAGATTTGCCCTCAAATAACTGCTCCCAATCCACATTCCCCAATTCTTGTCTAATTTGGATGCAATTGGTCCTTGCCCAATTAAAACACCCTCACCCGAGGGCCACTCTTGTCCTTGTCCATGAATACTTGAAATCTAACGGAGTTACAGTCACTAAGCCCAAAATGCTCCCCTACTGAAACAATCACCTGTCTAATTCACAAAGCTACTAATTGGGCAAAGTAACAACTACAAAGATTAGGATTCAAACAATACCCCCTCCTGTGTAGACTAACTTTGATAATAGAATTACTGGAAAAATAATAGCAAAACAAATCTGGTTCTTGGATCTGTGAACAGAAGAACATTGTTTAAAAAGAGAGCAAACTGTAATAAAAATATTTGTATAATTTTTTTATTGCTGTTAATTCAGGGAAAATGTTGCATAAAATCCAAAAATTTGTTCTAGAAATATAAGTGACTTTCCAGTACATAACGTCTTGAATATCAAAGAATACAGTAAACATATGAACGAACTGAAGGTAGCAGCATACCTCCTATATACAGTACAGTTTTTAAACCATAAAATTAGTTTCAATGTAGCAGAGTTATTTACAACACATCGTCTTCCAAGTTCACGTGGCTTACCATTTTTAAATCTATAGAATTCAACAGCACAGTTGCAGCAAGATAACTGTTTTGTTTTCAATTGGTCATCCAAAGTTAGTAAAATACATTTTAAGGAAAATAAATGCCACACTTCATTCTCCAGAGATGTGGAAACAACAATTATTAACTGATTCACATGGGTGGCATTAAAAGGCCCAAATGTCAACAAGTTATTTCTTACATGCAAATAAGTAGTTTGGGTCAAAGCAGCTCAACTAAAATAAGTATAGACAGATCAAGTCAACTGCAATTTTTCTTTCCCCTAAAAAAATACTCTTTTTGATGACAGCTTTTTGTTGACACGAGCCTTAAGACGAGACAAAGGCCTTTTAAGAGCCTACAGACAAAAACACATTCAACTCCTATGACACTCACTCATTTTCAAGTCAACATACATCAATCCACTCAAAAAAGAGTGGGACTCTATACATCTACAAAAAGCAGACTGCTGCATGCCAATATCACAGCTCCTTATATTCCCATTAATGTTAAGGAATGCCAAGGGTCAAGTTTGGACAGCACTAATTCAATCTATTGCTGTAGGATGCAGCAACCCTCAAAAATGCCATCATCTTGCAAATAACCTCAGTGCACTTAAGAAATAAAACCTGGAAGCAGAATAGTGCATATTGGCTTTTACCTCTCTCCTTTTTAAAAAAAAAGCAGCAGCATAAATTAGTGACAAGCTGACATGATTAATACCATCTACAAATACCAAGCATCCATCTTCACATTATAGTAGTGGTAAATGCGAGTGAAATGGTGAAATCTACAGAGATCACACCACCCTACAATAAATATCCAACAGTGGTTTTTGCTTTTCATCGTGGAGACATGTAACCTTTGTGTAGAGCTGAGTAAAATAAAATTTGTCTTACATTCTAAAATCCAAGCAAACACGGTCTCCTCATTAGCAATCTCAGCTTAGAGCCTTTTTTAAAAAGAAAATCAAGTAACACCCGATGCACATTTATGGTACAGTATAAAGATGGGATTCACAATGTTTCTGACTATTCAATGGTTTGATCTAAAGACAAAATTTAAAAACATTCACACTTTTGTCAAATCTAAAGAGTCGTTATAAATATCAAAAATTAAAGATAATCAGCTATTCAAAATAAAATGCTTTAAATTTTTTTTAAGCCTAAAAAGTAACTAACCAGGCAATATTCTGAAAATTGTGTTTCCTGTTATTTTTAATCTAGATTAATACAGGCACTCAAAGTTTTTCTTCAAAAAACAATATAAAAGGCATTACCTATGTCAATCTGCATATTTACTCTTATCCACTATGCCAAACAGAAGTACTTTAAATTCATGCATTTACATTTTGAAAGCGGAGTGATTTCTACATCAACTGAAACAACAAAAAAAAACCACAAAACAGAACAAGGGAGAGACTTGAAAGTTGAAGACAATTTGACGCAGACAGAAGATGTACCATGATGCAAGATGTGACCTGGCATTTTAACCGGCAGCAGTCTGCTCATTCCAGCCCAGTGTCTTTGTCGGACAAGTCAGTTCTCAAACACTGCCATAAGTTATCAACAAATAGCGAACATTGCACATGCCACTTGGTATAATACATTCATCAGTGCAAAACGAGAGGTCAATATTGTAAGCATTTCTAGGTCAACTGCTCTGTTTGTTTCATGAACACCGCAGCCAAAATAGGTCAAGATACGTCCATAAATGGAAAAAAATGCCACAATAAGTTCAAGACAACCCAGACTTCAGTGACCATGTGCTAATCCCAATCTAATGGGGAAACCATTTTTGCTGGACTAAGAGCATCAAGTGTGTTGTTAGGGTCACACCGAGATATTCAGGCTCCTTGCTAAGTTGATATAACCTTTCTAGCTTAATCAGCTGAATCCAAATCATGAGATGGAGCGAACTTCAATTTGAAGGCACCTGAAAATGAGAAGGAAATTGGTTTTATTAAAAAGCCTATTGCAGTATATTCAACACATTACAAGATCACCACAAAAGACATTTAATCCATGGAGAAAGTTTTCTCAATTACATTTTGATGTAATTGACACATTACATTGCAATAGCGTAGAAGGCTGCAAAAGTACTACTTTGGGCAAAAGTGCAGATCCTGGTAAAGGATTGTTTTGATAGAAACGAGGAGACGTGGTTTTGGAAGTTGGAAACGGGAGCAGGGGGCATACTTAGGTTTCTTTCATGCTGAGAAGAAAAATTCCTAATTTTTAAAATCACTTTGGCCTGGTCAAAGTACGGAAGTGTCTTCTGACAACTCCAACCCATCCACGGGCCTTTAAGAAAAAAAAGTTATATTTTTAACTGGTCCAAGTGCCTGTTGTGCAACCATTGCGAAGACTGAAGAAGGATTCCTTAAAAACTAAAACTCTTATACTACTGAAATGTAACAACTAAGAAATTTAGAGCAAATCTAGAAATAAGCATGAATCTCAGGAGCAGCTGCAAGATCCATGCTACACTCATTTCACCATTTTAAAATCTTATTCTTGAGCAGGGAGAATGAATGATGGCATTTAGAAACAAAAGAGAGCTGCTTTTGCTTGTCATTGTGACCTAGTTTATACCACACAGATGTTTCCAATTACACACAGCTTTGCTTCAAGTAAAGAGAGGACGGGGGTGGGGGGGGGGTTGCAATTCATTACAAAGATCGAGTAAGTAAAGCAAACATGGCAGTAATCAGAAAGCATTGGCTCAGTGAACTTTAAAACGTTTAAAATTTATAAAAGGTGAAGTCTAAGACAGGCAACGATTTAACTTTTGAGGTCCAAAGAGTAAGTTACTTGTAGGACAGGGTGACTGAGCCCAGTGAAAAGTTAGTAACCTTTTAAGTTTCATTTATATGAGCTGATCTGAATACTTTTGGAAAGACAATTTATTTCCATTTAGAGATAGAAGAACTGCTGACACTGGAGTCAGAGATGACAGTGTGGAGCTGGAGGAACAGCTCCAGGCAGGCCTATACACTTGCATTCCCCACACAGCTAGCCTAAAAGCCCTCTGCTTCTTCCTCTCCCGCAGGCCCAACCAGTCCCCCTCCACCGACACCCTGTCTGCCTAACTGAACTCACTCTTACCCTTAACAACTTCTCCTTCAACTCAGCCCACTTCTTACAGACTAAGGGGGGTGGCCATGGGAACCCGCATGGGCCCAAGCTATGCCGGCCTCTTCACAGGATATGTGGAACAGTCCCTCTTCTGCTGTTACACTGGCACTAACCCCCATCTCTTCCTCTGCTACACCGATGACTATCAGCGCTGCCTCGTGCTCCCACGAGGAACTTGAACAGTTCCACTTTACTAACACCTTTCTCAAGTTCACCAACCTCAAGTTCACCTGGACCATCTCAGATACCTCTCCCCGCTTCTTGGACCTCTGTCTCCATCTCTGGTGACCACCTTGAAATTGATACCTATTTCAAACCCACCGACTCCCACAGCTACCTAGATTTACACCTCCTCTCACACATCTTCCTGCAAGAATGCAATCCCCAACTCCCAATTCCACTGCTGCGTCTGCTCCCAAGAAGGGGCATTCCATAAAATATCCCATTTTATTTCAAGGACCGCAACAGCCCCCTTCAGTGGTTGAAAACACCCTTGACCGCATCTCTTGCGTTTCCTGCACCTCAGCCCTCACACACCCTCCCCACATCAAAAACAAAGACAGAATCCTCCTTGTCCTCACGCATCACCCCACTAACCTCTGGATTCAACATATCATTCTCCACCACTTCCACCACCTGCAATCTGACTGCACAATCAAGGATATATTTCCCTCCCCACCCCCATCTACCTTCCAGAGGGACCGCTCCCTCAGCGACTCCCTCGTCCGCTCCACACTCCCCACTAGCCCCACCACACCCAGCACCTTTCCCTGCAACTGCAGGAAGTGCTACACCTGCCCCTACACCTCCCTTCTCATCTCCATCCAAGGACCCAAAAAACCTGCCATATCAGACACGTTCACCGCACCCACTGCTCCTGATGTGGCCTCTTCTACATCAGTGAGACCAAGCGGAGGTTTGGAGACCGCTTTTAGAGCGCCTTGGCTCAGTTCGCGATAAACAACACCACCTTCCAGTCGTGAACTACTTCAACTCCTCCTCCCACTCCCTGGACGACATGTCCATCCTGGGCCTCCTCCAGTGTAACAACGCCACTTGGAAACTGGAGGAGCAGCACCTCATTCTGCCTTGGGAGCCTACAACCCAATGGTCTCAATGTGGACTTTACTCGTTTCAAAATCTCCTAACTCCTGGCCTCATCCCGTGATCAACCCTCCCTCTCATCCCTGCCTCCTTGACCTGTCAGTCTTGTCTCCCACCTATCCGCTCCCCCCACCTCACTGACCAATCCCCACCACTCCCTATCTACTTGCACTTACCTATCGCCATCCCACCTACCTTTCCCAGCCCCACCCCTCCTCTCGATTTATTTTGGACCTCCCTTCCGCCTCCCCATTTCTGAAGAAGGGTCCCAACCCGAAATGTCAGCTTTCCTGCTCCTCTGATGCTTCCTGGCCTGCAGAGTTCCTCCAGCTCCACACTTATCTCATTTCCATTTGTTTTCTCATTAATATGCCTTGAACTCTAAATGGGTTAAAATTTAAATGTTGTACAGTCATTCACGTGCCTAGCAACCCCAAATAGAAACAGTTCTGAACAATCACTAATTCCTTCATTCCTAGGCTGCAAGTTAAGTGTTTGAATGTCTAGCCCACACTGGGGGGGGAAGAGAAGGAGGAGGAGGAGGAAGGAGTGTTTTACTTTTGTTGAATTAAACTCGAGGAGAAAGGTGTGTTTTTGCAAAGGGCAGCACTTGCTATTTGAAATTTAAATGTATCACTTGCATTGCTTCAAAGTTTCCCTCCCATTGCATTTTAAATGATCAACAGGTTATGCCTCCAATACACAACTCGGATTGTTAGCTTCAGCATCACTTATAAACACAGACACCAGTATCCTTATACCAAAATACCAAGTTTACCAGTCAATAGTTTTCACCAATTTTTATTTTAATGCTACAACTGAAAAAAGGTATGATTCTAACTGTGCTCCTATTGTGGAGCCTGGCAACAAATAATTTAAGCAGCCACTGGAACCCATCCTTGCTGACAGAAAACTGGTGGGAACTTGCTTACAGTTTCCCAATGCATGCTCCCACATGTAAATCAAGGCCACATTGCTCCACTTGTTATTTGAAATTTAAATGTGTCACTGTCATAAAGACAGTGTAGATGAGGGAGACTTCCACTTCCAGTTTCTTCAGTATGGTGAAAAGAACTGAATATAGCATTCGAGGCTGCTGCTAGATTTTACAATGTCAGTAAGACAAACAGAGTTGTGCTCAATTGGTCTGGGGAGTAATTTTGCTGCTTACTGCTCCATCACGTTCATGGCTCTTTCCGTCTATCCCCTTCTCAGTGCAAAGGCACAGAAATACCTCCAACCATCTCTGAACAAGTGCAAATGACTATCTTTGCATTATTCATAAACTTGTTCAAATTAGTTTGCAAATCTGGATTCTAGCTTGAGACACAATGTGGCAAGGTACAACAATGCGGTCAGCACAGAAGAGGAAAACAAAAAAGTAATCTTAAAAACTTTAAAAAAGCTAATATTGAAAACATTACATGAAGGCTTCAGATGCATCACCCAGCCTGTGCATTCAATGCACTAAGCAAAAGCAATAAGAACAGGATCCAAGTTATCTGACCTCCTCTTTTCAAATCAGTGCACCGAGGTACAAACTGTATACTCGGAACTACAGAATACAGGAGAAGTTCCGCTGATTACGGAAGTTAAGCTTTTCCTCAGAATATGCAGCACATTAATATTTAACAACTCAATAATTCCACCAGTCTGGGGATTAGATTAACACATCCATTTAAGTGCCTTAAACAGTTCAATGGTTACATCAGAAATCACATGATTATACTTAACACAGCAGTACATTTCAATGGGCTTTGTAAACAGAACGGAGGCCATGGCACAGCTTAATTGCTATGTGAGCTTGAAAATGCCATTTCAAGATGCTGGCAGCAAATCAACGTAAAAGGTTTCAAACAGATTACTGTTTGGATTATCTTGTACAGTCTACTTACCTGGCTGACTGGCCTCCATAGATGGCTGTTTACAGTCCTGTGCATAGTGTCCACCTACACCACAATTATAACAGGATGCATTCCCATTCTTTTTAGGTCCCATACCATTTACATTGGTGACCACGTTGGCCACTTGATACATCACTGGAAATCCTCGGACAAATCCTGGCATTTGTTGCATCCCGTAGTTAGTCTGATTTGCCATAGGATCGTGCATTAATCCACTAGTGTAAGGGTTCTGATAAAAGGGCATCTGGGTTCCATTGTTTTGATGTGCTTGGTTGAGGTAGCTACCATTACAAAGAGAGGTTACCCCACTGAAAGGGATAAAAGGAACTCTGATAAGATGGCTAGGTATTGTGCTGGGGTAGTAGTAGTTTAGTAGAGGGTTACTATTGGTCCCACAGCTACCTCGGCATCCACAGGAACTACAAGCCCCACAGCCAAGCTGCTGGGTCGGTTGCATGGTCCCATGAGTACTAGTATTTCCTATTGTGTTAATGTAAGAGGTGCTGTCACTCTGAGCTGTGCTATGAGTTAACGCTGTATTGAGGCTTGGCACAGGGCCCGGGGTATGGGTAGGGACTGAGGATCCAGTAGACTGAATTTGACCGACAGGAGATGGAGAGGTTACTGCAGCCTGCAAAGGCAAAACACTGGTTGGAGTTCCACTTAGGTTGTATGAGCCAGGTGGTGGTAGCAGGCCAGCTGCAGGAAGCATCACCTTTAAACTGGCAGACTCAGGTACTGTTCCTATATTTCCATCAGCTTGAGGCAACAAGGCATTCAGTCCCATGACGTTCTGTGAAGTTTTAGTAGTGGGATCCAAAACTGAGGGTGTTGATAGTTTTCCAGATGGAGAGTGGCTGTGAACTGGGATGAAAGCTGTGTTGGCTGATCCAATATTCACGGTGCCTGCTGGTGTCTGGGGTCCAGGAATGTGGCAGTTCTCCAAGCTCATTTGTGACGCTGTCATTTTATGTCTATGCGTCATGGGATGCACAGCCGGGCTAGCAGTCTGCAGGACAAAAGGAGTTGCTACTGAAAGGGGGGAGGGCATCATGTCCACTCTCTTCCCAGCTTCAGCAGCACCAACAGGTGCTACATGTGAAGATTCCCGAAGAGAGGCGGCAGGAGGAGGGACAGTTACAATCATCCCAACAGTTTTGTCTACAGGAGCAATGCAGTCCGGCTTCTTTCCACCATTTTGCATCACATAGGGCATAGAAGGCATTAAAGGAATGCGAGGAAGAAAAGGGGCAGGCGGATTCCCCGGAAAAGTACAATTCTCGCTCTGCACTGGAGCAACCTGTGCGGTTGGCCTCGTAGTACTTCCACGAACCAGGTTACAGGGGGGCTTCTCCTTGTGTTTATCTTTCCCGGAATCCTCTGAAGTGCTATCAGAATCTAATTGAAAAGAAACAGAAACATGTAATATGCAACTTTGCAGCATAAAGTAGACCATTACAAATCTACCTAAAGTTTACATTTATACACAAATATGCTATATGTTGATTAATGCTCAGTGAACGAGTAAGAGGAGGAAAATTGTGGTATTACTGTAATAACCAAAGTATAAGCTGGAAGAGAGTTTCTGGCAAAGTTCAAGTTTGTCATGAAGGGCTAATTTTCAAAGACTGATCCAGCAAGACTATGCTCAAGGAACACAGTAGCAAGCCACTCAGTCTGTCATGTGCACGCTATCCATCAAGATATCATGGCTGAGCCACATCTCAACTCTCAATCATTTCCCCTTGATGCATCCAATTTTGATACCCCTTACCCAATTTAACAAAATTCCAGCTTGAAAATTTTTGTTCAAATTACTGCATGACAGAACTAGTGTTTTGAGGCATGTCGTTTTAAATATTTTATCTATCATAAAGTTGGCAGTGTGAGGAAGAGAACATCTGACTGCAAAAAGCACCTGTAACGCTTGTATTAGAGGATGACACCTAAAGCCAAGTTCCAAATTTTGCATGTACAGTTACACATGCTCAGGTTGACAGACTGCCAAAGGCTCCTGAAGTTAAAACCAATTAGAGAATAGGTAGCAAGAAAATAAGTTTTTGGCAGGAGGTTTCCAATCTCTCCAAATTGTAATATTCTTATTGGAAAATAAGGAATCACCAGCATACTAATACCAACTAGAAAGAGATTGGGAATATTTGATACAACAAGACACTGAGAAGGTAATTAAAATATTCATCTAAACGATACTACTTTAGTTGTATCCCAAGTGCCAGCCTGGTGCAATGATAACACACTTGCCTTCAAGAATGTAGCAACTTCAAGCCTCATTTCTGGATTATGGGCATACAATGCAGACTAACAAAATGCAATACAGAGGTCTGTGAGCGTTAACATTTTTTCAAAATGGGTATCAAACTGAAGCCCGGTCTGCTTGGGAGAAGCAGGTACTACACACCCAGTACTACACTAAACAGAGTTCTCTTCCTTAAATTCTGGCCAAACTTCTCCGCCAACACCAAAACCTGTATTTCACTCCTGTTTGGATGTGCAAACTGGCTATCACATTTCTGTGTGACATTGACTTCACTTCCAAAAGTAATTAAATTGCCACGAAGCACTTCAATATACTCAGAAAACTGCGCTGTAAATACAAGCTTTTGCTTGAATCTGGTCAGTAGTTGAAAGACTAAATAGCATAACATTGGGAACTGCAGACTTCACTGCTAACAGATGAACACCAGCTTGACTGTTACAAATTGCAAGATCGTAAGTAAAAAGTAAAATTAAGCTCTAGGCTCCAATTCTAGAAGAACGAAATTGAAAAAGGGAGAGAGTTTTGCCAGATCGATCGAACCTTGGGTGAACCACAGATAAAATACTGCCGTCGTTCTGGTGGCCTTTTTATAATAAGACCAGAAACACTGGAATGCAAAGAAAAAAATACCCAAAATACAAGTGCATACAAATTAGGAAAGGATTGACATCCCTTTTCTGTTCAAACAGGAGACAACCAATTGGAGGATAAACACCAGCACTGATTGGTTGGGTTGAATAGGCCATTTCTGAGCTGTATATACGATACAAAGTTAACAAAATGAGTGCATTCAATTCATGACATATTTGACTTGGTTTTGTAACAACTCTTGCAGAGAGACTGAAGGGAAGGGTCAGGTTGACAGACTACCAAAGGCTGCTGAAGTTAAAACCAATTAGAGAATAGGAAGTAAGAAGAAGAAGAAAAAGAAAAAAAAAGTTTTTGTCAGGAGGTTTCCAAAAAGCAAACGTGTTAAGGGTGAAGGAGTAGCTGTCACTGAAGCAAAATAAAGTATGGCAAGAAAGCCAGGACAATGTGTGCTGGAGGAGCACATGCTGCTGCCACAGACTCAACTGTTTGTGACTTGATTTTTGGACTGCCAAATCACTAATAAACACGTTAGTGTGAAAATGCAAGTACCAGTAATGGACCTGACATTAAAGAGAATATATCTTACTCAGTACGGAAAGCAGGAGTAGGAAGGCATATTGTCAAACTTAGCTGCAGGCTACAGGAATCAAGGCTTTTTTTAAGAAAAAAATTCTTTCACGGAACGTCAGCATTGCTGGCAAGCTTAAGCATTTGTTGTCTGTCTCTATTGCCCTTGAACAAAGTGGCTTGCTAGGCCATTTCAGAGGGTTAAGAGCTAATCACACTTCTGTGCATTGGAGTCACATGTAGAACAGGTCAGGTGAGGAAGCAGATTTGCTTCCAAAAAGGCATGAGTGAATGAGATTGATTTTGTCAAAAATAAATAATTTCATAGCCATTACTACCGAAACTAGCTTTCTCTCTATTTTTAAAACATTTTTTGGTCAACATTATTTGAGCAACACTTCAAGTCCTCTCAATAAACAGATACTCCAAATTTATGTTGAAATAAATGATTAGAGACAATTGTAAATCGGCGTTTATTTTCCGGTAGCTTGTTACATATTAGAGCAAAATTTACAGTTCATATACAAAAATCCTTCTACATTTTGTTTAGAATTATTTTCTATTTTGGATTTCATCTTCAGTAGCAGGAATATTTAAACCTTTTTGATCCCTTTTCCAGCTACTTAGCAAATACACACGAGATCTAATCATCTGACATGTTGTCACTAGCTTCACCGAGTGTTTCAAGATAAAATACATGCATCTGCACTGAAGCTCGTCCAGTATCAATATGGTGTCAAATGGTCTCATAACTGCATGTTATTAAAATCTATTTAGAGGGGATTTTAGTAATTCAAAATAACTCACCTTTGTCTTTCTCATCTTCACTTTCACAACTCTCTTTCCCATCATGTCTTGGGCTGGAGGGAGAACTGTAGCTTTCTGAAGAGCTGTCTCCACATGCCTCCAGACCAGAGCCAACATCCCTTAATTCTAGAACAATCAGGTAGGTACCATTGAATAATAAAATAAAGCCAATCAACTCTTTAGTCTGTAGCATGATGATGCGCAATTACAGGCTATGTAGTTCATTGCATTATTTTGTAAAATACTTTGTTCATACCTATTCCCTTCTCCCTGACCTTTAGGCAAGTACACTGCAGAGTTTGGACTACATTTGCATTGCGACTAATGACCATCCACAACTAGAGGCGCACTGTAGCATCCCGTTCATTTCCTATGAGACATCCAACTATTATGACCCTTAACGGCTCCACCAAAATTTTGTAAAACATGCAAACATACACAAATAAATGAGTATTTTCCAATTTGAAAATAACTGTCAATCTGCAAGTAGATCGGATATGAACAAATCACATTTTATTGGTGTTGGACAAAAGGGAATTTCTCAAAGGTTCGAATAACATTAGTGATATACTTGGGTTTTACCACTAGGTGGTGCTAAAAGTTCAAAATCAAATTTTGTGTGTTTATGACTGGCAGATTTGCCCATTGACTGTAAGGCACTGGAGGTAAGATACAGATTCACAGCCAACATTCCCACATCGAGTTAATGGTCTTGACTTTGTTAAAGCAAATGCTGAGCAGTAGCTAAGAAGCTAAGCATTTCTTCTCCCCTGCTTCCCATCCTCTTCACAAATCTAACAGGGTTAGAAATAATAGACTTCTTAAAAGGTTCACGCAAGAATGACTTACTATGAAAATCTAAATACTGTAAAAACCATAGGAGGGACAACAGTAGTAATTCTTTAATAAAGATATTGAATAATCAATTGATGGCAGTTACAATACAGCCAACTTCCACACAATTTCAATTCTGATACAGAATACTACTTTCCACAAGGAAGTTTATTTAGGTTGTAGTTAACCTTCCAAGCAGGAGTCAATACAGTACTTTATAATCTTTACTGTAACAAGCCAACTGCAATTTTAGAAGGAAAACACCTAATTAAAAATTAAAACTGCACGTCATTCCCCGTGAACTACGCTTCCAAGATTAGAAGTCTGTTTATAGCTTTGGAAAAATCCAGTTCTCTGGGCCTTACCCTCAGTATGGAATATATTGCAAGCTAAATGCAAATCTTTAATAAATTGTTATCTTAGTTTCCAGCTACAGTTGGCATCTTTTCCACTCAGATGAAATATTTACACTACTGACTAAAATTAATCACCCTCTGATTTGGTAATATTGCCTTTGGAAGGATGAACATTTCCAGTTTGATGACTTATACAATTCTGATTTGCATGGATTCCTCCTAATCATGATCTACAAAACACAAAGTAAAATCACTACTTTTGTATGTTCAGTCTCTAAATATTGTGTATAAATATTACCTGACAATGTCACATACTAATATTGCTGTCGGTGAAGCTACTTACAATCACATCAAAACTGACAAGCAATAAAACAACGACTGAATTGTTGGGCTCTGTTTGCTAGATTTGAATGCTAAACTCAAGAAAGTTAGCGAGATACTGAAGCAGTCTGTAAACGGATGTTATGCAAACAAATAACCAGAGGAAAATGATGAATTGGCTCACTTGTCTAGAAGCTCTTTACTGGAGGGGCAAAAACCATCTTCTGGAAAATGCTCAGTATTCTTTAAGTGCAGGGTACTGAATGACTGAAGAAATCTCTGAACTAATCGCAAGTAATTTGTTACTAAGCACAATAATGCTGACCAACTTTTTAAAGTAAGCCAAATAGAAGAGGTAAATTAAGTTATAGACCCCAAATTGCATAAGATCTATTGTTGGGCAAATTAAACTGCTCCCTTAAGTTGATTTTGGCAGATCCTCTTACCCAGCCAACTGTAGAATTTAATCAGTGCAAGTTTAACCCCTAATTGTGATTTTCCTTGGATGTCAAGTTTACATTTTCACAACAAAATTCAAACCAAACTCAAATCAGCCCATTTTTGATTTAATAGGGTTGGAACAGGCAACCAATCCTTTCATGAGGTAAGTCGGTCATTAAAAGCTTAAAGAGGCTGCATATTCCTATATTAATAAACTGCATCGGTATTCACTCAAGATAAGGATATGGAGGATAGTGAAATTTGTGTGCAGCATGCTAATATGCTAGGGTATTTTGAGATCAAGAAAGAAGTGTTGTTGGGACTCTTGAAGAGTATTAAGGGGGTAAGCCCCCAGGCCCAATAGTATCTACCCCAGGTTATTGAGAGGAAGGAGAGGAGATCGCTGGGGCTTTGACCAAGATCTTTGTATCCTTACTAACCACGAGAGAGGTCCAAGAGGACTGGTGAATGGCTAATGCTGTTCCTCTGTTCAAGATGGGAAATAGGGATAATCCAGGAAACTACAGACTGGTGAACCTCACATTGGTGGTTGGGAAGCTATTGGAGAGAACTCTTAGAACATAGAACAGTACAGCATAGTACATGCCCTTCGGCTCACAATGTTGTGCCAACCTATTATTCTACTAACATCCAACTACCCTACATACCCTACGTTATACTATCCTCCATGTGCCTATCCAAGAAGTCTCTGAAGTATCTGACTTCACTACCACTGCCGGCAGCGCATTCCATGTGCCCACCACTCTGTGTAAAGAACCTACATCTGACATCTCCTCTATACCTTCCTCCAATCACCTTTATGTGAATTTATTTGCATTATGTGGATTTATGTGCATTTGGAAAAGCATGGCCTAATTAGGGACAGTCAGCATGGTTTTATGCAGGGCAGGTCATGTAACAAGGGTGATCGATGAGGGTGGAGCAGTGGATGTTGTCTACATGGATTTTAAAAAGGCTTTTGACAAGGTACCTTATGGTAGGCTCACCTGGATGATTAAGGTGCATGGGATCCAGGGTGACATGGCCGCTTGGATTCAGAATTGGCTTGCCCATAGAAGACAAAGGGTAGTGATGAAAGGGTGTTTTTCTGGCTGGAGGTCCACGCCTAGTCATGTTCTGCAGGGATCCACGCTGGGACCTCTGCTGTTTTGTGATATATATGAATGACTTGGATGAAAACGTAGATGGGTGGGTTAGTAAGTTTGCAGATGATAAAGTTCAGTGGAGTTGTGAATAGTGTAGAAGGTTGTCAATGGATACAGTGGGATATAGATCAGTTGCAGATATGGGCAGAGAAATGGCAGATGGAGTTCAATCCGTGTGAGGTGCTGCACCTTGGGGGAAATCAAATGTTAGGGAACAGTATACACAGTTAATGGCATGACCCTTAACAGCATGATGTACAGAGGGATCTTGGGGTTCAAGTCTATAAGCCCCTGAAAGTGGCCACACAAGTAAATAGGGTGGTAAAGAAGGTGCATGGCATGCTTGACTTTATTGGTCAGGAAACAGAATACAAGAGTCAGGATGTCATGTTGCAGCTTCATAAGCCTTTGGTTAGGCTGTACTTAAGAGTATGGTGTATAATTCTGGTCGCCATATCGCATGAAATATATGGAGGCTTTGGAGGGGGTGCAGAAATGGTATACCAGGATGTTGCCTAGCTACAAGGAGAGACTAGAAAAATTCAGGTTGTTTCTCTAGAGCAGCGTAGGCTGTGGGGAGACTTGATAGAAGGCTACAAAATTATGAGATGTACAGAGTTAATCAGAATCTTTTCCCCAGAATTGAAATATCTAATACTAGGGGGCATGCATTTAAGGTGAGGGGGCAAGTTCAAAGGAGATGTGAGGGGCAGTTTTTTTTTGTTAGAAACTACACAGTGGTAGAAGTCTGGAATGTTTCTCCAGAGGTGGCGGTGGTGGAGGCAGATACGACAGGAGCATTTGAGGGACTTTTAGATAAGCACATGAAAATGCAAGGAATGGAGCAGAAGGGACTAGTTTAATATGGCATCATGTTCGGCACAACATCGTAGGCTGAAAAGGCCATTCCTGTGTTGTACAGTTCTGACGTATTTTTAACCCTGGGAAACCCAGCAGGTAGAGGGAGACAAAAAGGGCTGGATCCATAAGGCAAGTGACTCTAGACCCACAGCAACTGACTAACTCACAATTGACCTGTAATGGCCCAGCAAGCCACTTGTACCAATTGCTACAAAGTCTCAGAAATGGAACCGGACAGATCACTTGGCATCAAACTAGGCACCGGAAAAGAAAACAGCAGAAACAACCCTACAAAGTCCTCCTCACTAACATCTGGGGATAGTACCAAAATTGAGAGCGCTGGCTCACAGGCTAGTCAAGCAACAGCCAGATGTAGTCACACTCATGGAATTATACCTTACAAAATGTCCCAGACACCATCACTATTGCAGATATGTCCTATCCCACCGACAGGGTAGGCCCAGAGGTGGTGGCACAGTGGCATACAGTCAGGAGGGAATTGCTCTGGAGTCTTAACATTGACTCTGGACCACATGAAGTCTCCTGGCTTTAGGTTAAACATGGGCAAGGAAACAACCTGCTGGTTATCATGTACCACCCTCTCGGTTGATAAATTGGCACTCCATGTTCAGCAACACTTGGAAGAAGCACGGAGGATGGCAAGGGCACAAAATGTACTCTGAGTTGGGGTTTCGATGTATTCTTGGCAGCAGCAATACTGAGCAAACTGGTTGGGTCCTAAAGAACACACCTGCAGACCCAGTCTAGCAGCTGATGAGGAAACCAAGAGCAAAAAACATACTTTCTCATCCTCACCTATCTGCAGGCTGTAGATGCATCTGACCATGACAGTATTGGTAAAAGTGACTGCCACAGTCCTTGTGGAGACGAAGACCCACCTTCATTTTGAGGGTAACCTCTATCATGCTGTGCAAAATGGGGCAGACTTCAAACAGATCTAGCAGCTCAAAGTTGGGCATCCATGAGGTGATGTGGGCCATCAACAGCAAAATTACACTCCAGTACAATCTGAAACCTCATGGCCCAGCATATCTCCCACTCAACCATCATCAAGCCAGGGGATTAAACCTGGTTCAATGGAGAGTGCAAGGCAGCATGCAAGGAGCAGCACCAGGCACACCTGAAGATGAAGTGCCAACCTGGTGAAGCTACCGAACTGGACTACTTGCATGCCGAAAAGCATAAGCAGCAAGTGATAGACCTAAGGAATCCCACAGCCAGCGGATCAGATCTAAGCTTGCAGTCCAGTCACATCTAGTCAGGAATAGTCACTCTACGTCATAAAAAACATTGAGACACTGGATACCACAAAGGCTAAGGGCCTTGACAACATTCCAGCAATAGTGCCGAAGGCTTGTGCTCCAGAACTTGCCTCTCCCCTAGCCAAGTGTTCTAGTGCAGTTACAGCACAGGCACCAACCTGACAATGTGGAAAATTGTCTACATTATGTCCTGTACGTAAAAAGCAGGACAAATCCAACCAGCCAATTACTGCCCATCAGCCTACTCTCAAATCATCAGTAAAGTGATACAAAGTATCATCAATAGTCCTACAAGCAGCACCTACTCAGTGACAACCAGTATGGGTTCCACCAGGAGTACTCAGCTCCTGACCTCATTACAGCCTTGGTTCAAACATGGATAAAACAGCTAAATTCTAGAGCATGAGGTGAGAGTGACAGCGACAGCCCTCGACATCAAGGCTGCATTCAATCCAGTGTGGCATTAAGGAGCTCTGGCAAAACTGGAATCAAAGGAATTAATCACACCTGGCGCATGGGAAGATGGTCATAGATTGCTGGCGGTCAGTCATTTCAACTCCAGGACATCTCTGCAGGAGTTCATAGAATCATAGCATCCCTACAGTGTGGAAACAGGCCCTTCGGCCCAACAAGTCCACACCGAACCTCAGAGCATCCCACCCAGTCCCATCCCCCTATGACCCACCTAATATACATCCTCTACCTCCCTGAACACTACAGACAATTTTAGCATGGCCAATCCACCTAACCTGCACATCTTTGGACTGTGGGAGGAAACTGGAGCACCAGGAGGAAACTCACGCAGACACGGGAAGAATGTGCCAACTCCACACAGACAGTCGCCCAAGGCTGGAATCGAACCCGGGCCTCTGGCGCTGTGAGGCAGCAGTGCTAACCACTGTGCCACCGTGCCACCCCTGAGTTCCTCAGGATAGTGTCCTAGGCCCAACTATCTTCAGCTGCCTCATCAAAAACCTTCCCTCCATAAAGGTCAGAAGTGGGAATGTTTGCTGATGATTGTGCAACTCCTCCGATGCTGAAGCTGTCCATGTTCAAATGCAACAAGATCTGGACAATATCCAGGCTGGAGGTAAAAAGTAACATTTGCATCACACAAATGCCAGGCTATGACCATTTCCAATAAAAGACAATCTATCCACCTTCCCTTGACATTCATCAGTGTTACCATCATGGAATCCCCCACTATCAATATCCTGGGGGTTATCATTGACCAGAACCTCAACTGGACTCACCACAAACAACGGCTACAACAGCAGGTCAGAGGCTGGGAGTATTGCAGCGAGGAACTCACCTCCTGAATCCTCAAAGCCTTTCAATCATCTACAAGGCATAAATCAGGAGTGATGGAATACTGTCTACTTACCTGGATGAGTGAAGTTTCAACTACACTGGAAGCTCGATACCTTCCAGGACAAAGCAGCCCACTTGATTGATACTACGTTCACAAGCATTCAACCCTCCACCACTGATGCTCAGTAGCAGCAGTGTGTGACACTTCAAGATACACTGCAGAAGTTCACCAAAGATCCTCAGATAGTACCTTCCAAACCCATGACCACTTCTATCTAGAAGGTCAAAGGCAGCAGATACACAGGAACACCACCCCCTTCATGTTCACCCACCAAGCCACTCACTATCTTGACTTTGAAGGAATGATCATTTCCTTGTCGCTGCATTAAAATTCTGGAATTCCCACCATAATGGCAACGGGTGAACTCACAGGTGGACTGCAGCACTTCAAGGACGCAACTCACCACTACCTTTTCAAGGGCAACTAGGGACAAGTAATAAATGATGGTCCCCAGCAACACCCACATTCCACAAATGAGTTTTGAAAAAGATGTGGTCTCACCATGCAAATGGAACTTCATCTCCACATTTCTGTATTCAATCCTCTCAGGAGAAATTCTAACATTCAATTAGCTTTCCCAAATACTTGCAAAAAATGCATACTAACTATTTCAAATTCATGTACATGAACACCCAGATTCCTGTGCGTCTGAGGTCTGCAAAATCTTACCATTTAGATAGTGGGAAGAATAAAAAAAATACTAAAATGGACAATTCCACATTTCTCCACATTATAATCTGTTTGCCAGATCTTTGCTCACTCAATTTACCAATCTACATCCCTTTGTAGCCTCATTGCCCTCTTCACAACTTATTTTCCTATCTACCTTTCTGGCAACAGCAAACTTAGTGACCAAATCTTCCATTCCTTCATCCAAGTCACTTATACAAGTTTTAAACAGTTGGAATCCAGCAACAGTCCATGTGGCACACCACTTGTTACATCTGCCAATCTTATCAAAAGCTTCTAGAAATCCAAGTAGAGTACATTTACTAGTTCCCTTTTATCCACAGCACATTACCACTTCAAAGCCAACGGATCTGTCATTTCCAGCTTTCGGTCACACTCCCTTTGAGTAAATGAGTTACATTTGCTATATTCCAAATACAATAGAACCATCTCTGAATCAACTCTGTTTTGGGCAATTAAAACCATGCAACCACCTCACTAGTCAACAACTTCAAAGTAGAATTCTACTAATTTCTCAAGCAATGAATTTTAAGGAAACTTCAGGGTTATGAACAGTTATCAAATTATGCTCCAGTGAAGCATTTTTGATGTTTAAAAGGTTTCAAAATAATTGTAAACTTGTACTACAGTTTTTTTTAAAAAAAAGGGAAAAGATTAGCCTAATTTGTCTGAAGATTCTTTCACCTCATGCAGAGTAACAAGAACAAAAAATGATTATTTTGTAAGACTCATTAACTTGTGCTCAAGAAATTCAGTGCACTGCTGAGGCAATCTATACAGGTGAACACAACCAATATCAGTACACATTTCCAAACCTGTCCAACAGCAGTGAAGAACTTTGGACTAATATTCCAAACATGATCTCTATGTAAATATTCATTAGAAACAACAGACAGAAAAGTACCAGAAATACTCAGTTTAGGCACCAGATCTTGCAGCTTGACCAGAGTAAAATTTCCCCATTTCAGATTTCCTGCAATAATGATACTTAGTTTGTATACTTGTTAGAAATAAGCAACTTGCCCCTTGGTCACATCTCTATATAGGGTAAAATTCATTTTAAGCTAACAGTTATCCTCAATGCTTTGAAAAATTTGTAATATCCTCGGTGACTTTCAGAAATATCTTGCCCAAGGAGGTATGCAGTAACAGGCTATTATGCTAAAACAGTGATTAATTTCAATATACCCTCAGGTGATTCTGAATTAGCATGCAACATACCTGTCCTCTTATGAAATCACAAAGAATATTCTTTTCACCCTAAGCGCACATGCACAAATTAAAGGCTGATCCCATGTTCATTATTCTTGCTGCCAAGTCAACTTCCCTCAAAATCTAACAGTAACATCCCTTTCTACTCTCCAGTCACTTATGTATTTGCATTTCGCAAACACCCTCCTTTCTATGTTCATTGTGAAACCTAGGACACATATCCCACCCGCAGCACATACTCCTCACAACCACTAAGACAAGATACTGAATAACACATTTCTGCTCCACTGACATAGCTAAGGGAAAGTCTATCCCCACATTTGCTCATTGTAAAACATAACACAGGTCTTCCAAGGCTACCTGACATCATGTAATGAAGGTTGGGTGCGACATTACTGATAGTCAAGGTTTCTAAGTTTGTATGAGCCTACAAACAACTATATCTCAACCAATTTCCAGTTATGATTTTGAAGAGAAAAGAGTGACTGTGACACAGCTCTCCTGACTTGATCACTGAACTAGGGGTACCCTCACCACCTCACTTGCTCACCCACTATGCCAACAACCTAACCCATCCTCATTAAAGCACTGTTCTGGTTTTAACTCAACCTCCCCAGAAATGTTTCAATTCCCTCACCCACCAGTTGAGGTGATCAGCCTGCCTTTTCATTTACAAGCGCTTTCCATTCCCCAAAATACTTGATCAATTATCTCTGCCTTTTAACACAGACCCCACAATCTCTATTCTCGACAGAGATGGACTAGTAATAGTACATATCAATAGCCAGGAATGAAGTTAAAAAAATGAAAGTCCTTACCTTTCCCTGGTACAGCCCACACATGCTGCACAGGTGGAATTCTAAGAATACCATTGCCAACAGGAGCTCTGTGACTCCCTCGATCATCCTTGTTTTTGCTGCCGCTAAATAGGAAAAAAAAAGGTAAATAAGTAGGGATGAATCACAGAAAAGCTAAATTACTCCTTTTTCTTCCAACTCAAATCTTAATTTTTGCCCAAGAATTTACACTTTGGAAGCCAAAAGAATTTGTCCAACAGCAAAATTAAAATTTTTGCCAAAGCTTCTCGTCTAGCAATAATCATAACCTTTGGTATTCTTGTGAACATCAAGGGGAATATCATTTCTTACTGTATTGAATGGAAGTACTGACTTGTTGGCAAGTGGACTCTGAATCATATCAGTATTGCAATGGGAAATGCACCAGTTAGATGATTGACAGTTTACTGCCAAGCTTTGTTTGGATTTAAACTGGGCAGGTTAACTAAATAGTTCATTTCTCAGAGCAACGCCTTGAGCAGTGTAATGAACGAGAGACTAGGTATCATCTACTGTGTTAAGTTGAAACAAGTGCAATGTGTACATGTTCTTTGATTCAGAATACCAGAAGGGCATACAATAGATAAGGTTGCAAGAACTGACTTTGGTGTCCTTTGGCTGCAGAGCAAAAAGGCCAAGAAAGCAAGGTTTATTATTTCTGGTTATTGTTCCAGCTTGGTAAGAGTTGGGACAGTGATTGAATAAACTTGCCTGCACAACCAAAAAATATTTGTCAACTGCCTCTAATACATCCATTGTTTATGCTTTATAGCATCCAATAATTGATGTGATTCCATGATTGGACAGCATTTGTGAAATAACCCTGAGTGTAAGAATCAAAGATTGAAGAGAACAAGGCCTTAGGTAATGATGTGTAGCTTACAATACATGCAATCATGCTACACTGCAAGAGTCTGACAATCTTAAATTGGTTGTCCGCATAATTCTTACACTTGGCGTTATTTCACAATCATGGAATCACATCTATTATTGGACTGTACAAGCATAAAGTGGGTGTGTTAGAAGCTATTTACATATATTTTGTGTAATGCAGGAGAGTGTGATTCAATTGTTGTCACAACTCTATTAAACTAGATCAATAACTAGACATAACCTTGGTTTCTTGGTATTTTTGCTCTCTAGCCAAAAAATACCAAAGTTGGTTCATGCAACCCCATCTACTGTATGCCTTTCTGTCCTCTCTACTGATTCGAAGACTTCGATCTTATCTCAACTCATTCACACGCAGGAATTTCAATTCTTTACTTAACACAGTTACTCTACACAAAATTAAGAGAACATTTTACCCTTTCCATTAATACATACATGTCTGCCTGAGTGTTCAGCTTCTTACTCCCAGATGAAGTACTTCTTTTATCTTCTGATACATACTACAATTACAGGGGGAGAAGAAAATGTACAATCAATCCACTTGAACATCTGGAAAAGTGGTAAGTAATAAATTAGCAGTAGCAACTGAGACACAAGAAGGTCAATCTATTGAAATTCAATGTACTCCATTTTCTAGTATTCTAAACTAGCATTGGTATCTATTATTTCCTTTAAACCATTCAGATTTAGAGATGTTTTCAAACATTCTGTGGGTAACAGTCTGACAAAGCCACACAATTATTTAATACAATGTAGAACAGCAGAATGATCATCAACTAAATGGCACAATATAAAAACCGGTGCAGAGGCATGCTTGTGGATTGCACCTGTTTAACTTCAAAATTAGGTTTTATGACTTCCTTTTTAGACTTTTATCACATCACAGGCATAAATCACCACTTTTGGCAAACTAATAAAATCCTGGTTCTCAGTTTAAGGACATTTCTCCTTCATCTCTCACCTATCAAAAACATGTAATAATCACAGGATTCTAGATGGTCAAATACTTGATTTCTAACACATGCGAACACTAATATCGCTTCTATTGTTGAATCAAGCTCAACTATCTCCCAATTATTTTACTGGTCACCAGTAAGCAATACAAACTGTAGGAAGAATGAACAAAAAAATAAAAACAGCTTCAAGGAGTTCCATGCTGAAACCTATCCAAGACAGGTCTTGAGGAAATACTGCACCAATTTTGACATTTAAAATGCTGGGTACTATTTTCAGCATTCAAGAAAATCAATTTTCAGCTCTCATCTTTGCCTTCTTTCCATATCAACAGTAATATAAATTATATTTTTTGGAGTTTGAAATGTAACATTAATGTTCCATGTATGTCCCAGAGTAAGTTCAGACCAGGCTTGTTTGGGTACAAGGTATTCAGTAGGAACACTGGTGTCATTTTTAAAGTTGATAACCTACTGCCTTCAAGCCAAATGTTGCAGCAGAATGCTTCCCGTTTCAGCCTCAGGCACAGAGACCAGCTTAGCTATTAAACAGCAAGAGATATTATATTGGCCACTACCAATTCATGTTTTTGAGCGGGAGGACAAACCCTGGGAGAATGTGGTCTAGGATACAGTTAAGCAAATTCCAATGCATTCTGTACAGAGTGAATTCTTCTAGACGTCATCGCCACTGGAAGCCAGAAGTACTTGCTCAAATGTGGTGTATGATCTTATACGAAGTGACAAGCATTGTTACATGCTACATTTCCCATCACAATTGGTAGCACTGGATAGTGTCTGGAATGCCAGCATTAATAAATAAGGGATTTTTTGCACTGCATAGTCAGTAAAGTGCAGAGTATGAAACACAAATCAGCTGAGTGACAGGTTGATTGAGCGAACTAGAAATTTGGTTCAAGTGGGAATTCAATGCAGAGGGGGCAGCAGCACTAAGGTTTACCACAAGGAGGAAACAATCCACAGAATGAGACAAGAGATAGGGGGAAGGAATAAAAGGCAAGGATTAAAAAACCCACCTGCAGTGAAACCAGTGGCAGTATGATGTCATAGACCACAGGATGACATGTGCAGAAGACAAATGGCATTCCCAAAAAACCCAAAGAGGCAAAAAGAGGAGGATGAAAGTGAATACAATAACTATCACTGCAGAAAATATATTTCGGAAACTAATGGGAGCTAAAGACCGATATCATCCCGGTCCTGATGGCAAACATACACTGGGACATCAGAAGCTACAGATATAGCAGGTGTACTGCTTGCAAACTTCCAATAATCCTTAGAACGTGGGAAAGTGCCTGAGGATTGGAAAACTGCCAATGTAATATCTTTACTAAAAAAGGCAGCAAAACACATAACTCTAGGCTAGTTAGCATAGCTCCTATTATTGGGATAATAGGAGAGTCCATTATAAAAGATGCAATGTCAGAACATTTAGAATCCCATCAAATAATCTAGCACAAGTCAGCACGACTTAAAGACGGGGAAATCATACCTGACAAGTTTGTTAGAATTCTTTGAGGTGACAAGCAGGATAAACGGAAATCAGAAGATGTAATATATTTGGATTTCCAGAAGGCTTTTGATAAGGTGCTGCATTGCAAGTTTATACAACACAAGAATCCATGGTTTGCAGATAGTATATTAGCATGGGCAGAGGATTGGCCAACTAACTGAAGGCAGTGGAGATCAGTGGTCACTTGGGGGTGGGCGGGGGTACATTTTCAGAATGATCTATAAATGGAGGAGTGCCACAAAAAAAAATCAGTTACTTACAATACTTGTTAAAGTATGGAGGGGGGAAAAGCGAAATGTACTAAAGCCAAATTTGTAGAGGACAAAAACAAGTGGGAAGACAAGCAGCTAGGATGACAGTCTAGACTGCAAAAGAGCCAGGTTAATCCCTAGAACAGTATCAAGGCAGCAGCAGTATACTTACGCAGGACATCAGGAAGGCAAAAAGGGGACATGAGATAGCTTTGCCAAATGAGGTAAAGAATCCAAAGGGATTCTACAAACACATTAAGGACAAAAGAAGTGTAACTAGGGAGAGAATAGGGCCCCTTAAAGATCAGCAAGGAACCGCAGGAGATCGGGGAGATACTAAACGAGTATTTAGTGTGGAGAAGAATACAGAAGACAGAGAATGCAAGGAAATAAACAGTGACACCTTGAAAAACGTCCATATTACAGAGGTGGTGGTGTTGGATGCCTTAAAACTCACCAAGATAGATAAATCTCTGGGACCTGATCAGATGTATCCTAGAACTCTGTGGGAAGCTAGGGAAGTGAATGCTGGGCCCCTTACTGAGATATTTATATCAAAAGCCATAGGCAAGGTGCTAGAAGACTGGAGGTTGCCTAACGTGGTGCCACTATTTAAGAAAAGTGATAAGGAAAAGTCAGGGAACTGTAGACTGGTGAACCTGACATCGATGGTGGGCAAGTGGTTGGAGATAAATCCTGTCCCTCAGGATTCCATGTATTTGGAAACGCAAAGATTAATTAGGGATAGCCAACATGGCTTTGTGCATGGGAAACGTGTCTCACTAACTTGACTGAGTTTTTTGACGTAGTAACAAAGAGGATTGTGGGCACAGCAGTGAATGTAATCCCTATGGACCTCAGTAAGACGTTCAACAATGTTCCTGATGGTACACTGGTTAGCAAGGTTAGATCACATGGAATGGGGCAGAACCAGCTCAAAGGTAGAAGACAGAGGGTGATGGCGCAGGGTTTCTTTTCAGATTGGAGGCTTGTGATCAACGGTACGCCATAACAATCGGTGCTGGGCCCACTGCTTTTCGTAGTTTATTATAACAATTTGGATGTGACCGTAGGAGGTATGGTTAGTAAGTCTGCGGGTGACACCGAAATCAGAGGTATAGTGGATAGCGAAGGGTACCTGAGAGTACAACGGCATCTTGATCAGATGGGCCAATGGGCTGAAGAATGGCAGATGGTGTCTAATTTAGATATATGTGAGGTGCTGCATTTTGGAAAGGCAAATCAGGGCAGGCCTTGCACTTTTAATGGTAAGGTCCGGGCAATGGTGTTGAACAAAGAGACCTTGGAATGCAGGTTCATAGTTCCTTGAAAGTAGAGTCCCAGGTGTACAGGATAGTGAAGGCCGTATTTGGTATTCTTGCCTTTATTAGTTAGTGCATTGAGTATAGGAATTGGGAGGTCATGTTGTGGCTATACAGCACATCAGTTAGACCACTTTTAGAATACTGCATTCAGTTCTGGTTTCCCTGCTATAGGAAGGATGTTGTGAAACTTGAAAGGGTTCAGAAAAGATTTACAAGGATGTCGTCAGGGTTGGAGGGTTTGAGCTATAGGGAGGGGCTGAATAAACTGGGGCTATTTTCCCTGGAGCATCAGAGGCTGAGGGATGACCTTGTAGGGGTTTACAAAATCATAAAGAGGCATGGATAGGGTGAATAGACAAGGTCTTTTACCCAGACTAGGAGAGTCTAAAACTAAACAGCATCGGTTTAAGGTGAGAGGGGAAAGAGTTAAAAGGGTTCTAACTGGCAACTTTTGCCACACAGAGAGAGTGGAGTGTATATGGAGTGAGCAGCCAGAGGAGTGGAGACAGCTGGTACAATTACAACATTTCCAAGGCATCTGGATGAGTATATTGAATAGGGAGGGTTTAGAGGGACATGGGTCAAATGCTGGCAAATGGGACTAGATTTGTTTAGGATATCTGGTCAGCATAGGCGAGTTAGACCGAAGGATCTGTTTCCATGCTGCACGTCTCTATGACGATGACTCTAAGCCAGTGGGCAAAAACCTGGCAGATGGAATAAATGTGGAAAAATAAGCAGTTATATACTTTGGCAAGAAGGATAGAAGAGCTGAATATTATTTAGCTACAAAGGGATCTAGGAATCTTTAAGTCACTAAAAGCTATCCTACAATTAATTGGCCTTCATTTCAATGCAAGTGAGGATATAAAAACAGAAACAGCTGGCTAACATAAAACAAGGCACTAGTTAGACTGCACCTGGAATAGAATGAAGTTTTGAGTCTCTTATCTAGGGAAAGATTTACTAGCATTGGAGATAGTCCAGAGAAGGTTTGCTGTATTGATCCTGAATAAAGAGTGATTTTATGTGGAGGGTCAGTTGACATTTGCATCTCTTCACTGAAAAGATTACTGCAAACTTAGAGCTAAAGAATGAGGGGCAATCTTATTGAAACATACAAAGTTCTTCGGGGACTTGACAGGGTAGAGGTGAATAGGGTATTTTCCCTTGTGGAAGAGTCTAAGATCAGAGGGCATCATCTCAGGGTTGCCCATTTAGTTCAGAGATGAGGAGGAATTTCTTTTAAGAGTTGTAAATCTGTTGAATTCTTCACCACAGAAAGCGGAGGCTCGGAAATCCGGTAGATCAAGGCCAAGGTAGTTTTTTTTTAAATCATTAAATAAATGAAGGATTAAGGAGGAGGAAACTAGGGGTTGAGGATTCAGATCAGCTATGATCTCATTTAAAGGTAGAGCAGCTACAGCAGACTTAACGGGCTGAATGGCTTCTGTTCCTGCATCTTATGTTAAGGGAAGCAGAACAGTACATCTGACCGGAAAACTTGGTCCAACCTCAAACAAGCAAGGTGCCACAGAGAGGAGAGCTGTCAGGAAAACTTAAGACAAAAATCACAGTACTTAAAGTTTTAGATTTCCAACAATCAGCCAAAATTCAAACAGGGGCAACCAAACTGCTTCAAGGGAAGTTTCTTCTCCCCTGCCCTCACTCTCAGGAAATGGGCATCACTAACTGGGCCAGCATTCATTGCCTATCATTAGTTGCCCTTGAGGTAGTGCTAAGCTGCTTTTTTGAACCATTGCAGACCATTTGCTGTAGGTACACCCACAATGGGATAGGCAGCATGCTCCAGGATTCTGACTCGTGGACACTGAGGAATGGCGATGTAATTCCAAGTTTCTACGAGTATGGTAATTTGTCTTAAAGTGTTCTTGTTGAAGTTGAAGAGTTCACTTTTATGAGTGAATTCAACAAGTACTCTTGTCTTTGTCTGACTAGGTGGCCAAGGAAGGTCATTTGAAGATCACAGCCACAAGGTACTCACTGATGGCTTCTGCAGCTCACCTCAAACAACACACTCTCTGCTGGTTCTAGAGCTGAAGTAACTGGTTTCCTCCGGGGAGATAAAAGCACTTCAGCGAACTTCACGGAGCCTGTCCACCATCTACAAATTGCAAGTGCAATGGCACGCTTTCACTTTCAGCAATACATAAGACAAAGCAATCCCATTTAGACAACCACTTCTGAAATTCACACTTTTGCCTCCTCTGCAATGTGTACCGTATACTGAATGCAATGTGTCAAGGCTGCTTTAAAAGCAGGTTGAATGGCTGCAACTTCCAGTATTTAAAGACAAGGGCAGCAGGCACAAGGAATGCATTCACCTCCAAGATCCTCTCCAAGTCTCACACCATCCTAACTTGCAAATAATTTGCCATTCCTTCAGCAAGTCAAAAAAAACCTAGGATTCCCGTTCTAATAGTACTATGGTTACATACTCACTGCATGGGCTGCAGTAGTTCAGGGCAACAGCTCACAATCACCTATCAACAAGCAATTAGGAGTGGGCAATAAATGCTGGCTTTATTAATGACAACTATACCTCATCACTAAAATAAAAAAATTTCAAAATTGCTGAATAGTAAATTGGAGTTTGATGCAGGGCTGTCTTTGATGAGTGGAGAGCGTGCGTTAGAAGAATGACAATGTGGCAAGGCAACATTTCACACTCACATGTTCCATCACGGCTGTACAGTGGTCGGTACTGCGTTTTGTACTATAGTTTCTTTTCTTCCAGTCCAGTATACCATTCTGTTCAGACTGCTGTAAGCTCACGCCAACCCCTTGAGATTTTATACCAGAGCCACTGTAAAGAGAAGCAGAGTGTTCAGGTAAGCCAAAAAAAAAACACAACAACTAACTGATTTATAAACATGTCAGGGTCCAAGTCAGACTTTTACATCATGGAAAGAGGCCCTTCCACCCATCACGCCCTCACCAGTCATCAGGCACCTATTTATCCTAGTCCCATTTCCATCACCTGGCCCACGGCCTTGTGTACAGTGGCACTTCAAGCGATCACCTAAATCTCTCTCAAATGTTGCAATGGTAAAACCTTTACTACAGTGCACTGGGCAGTGGAGGTACAAACCATAAATGCTGAAGAATTTACACTGACTTCTTAAAAAAAAAACAAAGTGGGTCTCTCATCAAGTTACTCTTCCCATCTTTCTTTTGAATTTCTACTGAACTAATTAAACTGTAAAATTTTAAAGAGAACACTGACCCTCCAGGGAGCAACTTGAGTATATTTGAAAAGACCGAGCAGGTTGTAATAACTGTAATCAAGCCGAGCTGAATGGTAGAATTTAAATTCAGAGACAATAAATGCTAAAGATCAATTTTGGCAGCAATTTCATCCTTACAGGTGAAGTTACTTTAAATTTTAGTACTGCTAAATTAAACCCAGGGGTCAAATAACTTTGAGATGATGAAAATCAATGCAAACTTTCAAAAATACTTCACAAAATTTCAGAATTGCAGAACGACCAGAAGGAGATCAGTTCTAAGCACAAGCATTCCTCTAGGTCAACACGTCAGAAAAAAAATCTAAACCGACTTGCCTGCAGCCTATAGATTTCCCCATATTTTTCTTGTGATGGATCAATTGCTGCTGTCCATCTGGAAATACAAAAGTCATTGTTATAAAATATCCACCAAACCTTCACCATAAAAGCAGCCCATCATTAGGCCAATTTGCAACTCTCTCTTCCCCCAGTTTGAAAAGTACATTCTAGTGACCTGCATGCAACAGCACTGCCAACTATCAATGATGCACACTATTAACTTGCCTGACAAAATTCCCATGTAGCTGAATGCATGCATTTAATTCATTGAAATTTCTGATTAAGCTTTAATTTTTCAGTTCATATGAATAAGTTTTGCAGTGAGGATACGGTAGTGGATGGGGCAAGAGCATACAAAGATGAAGTTGAATATCAACTTGCTTCTCCTGCCTCTCACAAAGTCAAAAGAACTGAAAAGGTTTTTTTAAAGTGATCTTTCTATACTAAATTACAGAAACAAACATTAGTGAACTGAAAGTTAACATTTCATATAGCTGTGCTCACACCCAGTAATGATTTTTACACGTCTAGGACTGGACAATCCAAGTAAGAGAAGAGCAGTCAGCTTTGCTCAGCTTCTTCCCCAAATTATTCACCATCAACAAGGTTTTGTCTCAAACAATTGAGACACTAAGTTGAAAACTTTAGGCAATGCTTTCCTTTCAGTATAACAAAAAGGGACTGCAAATTGCCAGTAAATCTTAAATTTTGGCATTTTATATTTTCCTAATCAAAGTGTAGGGTAAGGGTTAAAAAGCACATTGAGCACAAGGTGTAAAGTCATGTACCTTCTTCCTGGCTGGAAGCCTCAGAACTGTCTTCTTTGAAGCGTTCTAAAGATTTAGACAACTTTAACGCTGGCTGTAAATTTGCTGAAGAAATTGGAAGCAATTTTAAAAAAATTAACTAACATCTTACTGCATTTATAACATTTCAGTGAAACAAAGCCAGTTAAGGCCAATTCAAACTTAGAGGTCTGCACCATAAGAGAGGTCTTATCTTAAGACAATGAGATGTAAAAGCAAAGCAGACCAATTACTCCAAATCTGTTCAGCCATTCAATGAGATCTGATCTGATGATCTTCAGCTTCGCCTTCCTGTCTTTTCCTCGTAACCCTTGTTTCCATTTACTGATTACAAACCTGTCTCTCTCAGCTTTGTCCCACCTTGACAGCCCTTTGTAGTAACGAATTCCACAGATTCACAATGCTCTTAAGAACATATAAAGGAACAGTAGGCTACTCAGCCCTTCAAGCCTGCTCCACCATTCAACAAAATAAAAGCTGATCTCATTTTAATATCAACTCTATATGCCTGCATATCCCGATAACATTTCATTCCCTAGTCTAATCAAGGGCTCACATACGCCTGCCTTAAAATTTATTTTTTTCAGGATTCTGTATCCTCTGCCTTTTGAAGGGAATGCCAAAGACAGTCAATCAGCAAAAAAATTCCCTCATCTCTCAAATGGGCACCCATTTATTTTTAAAATATGACTCCTAGTTCTAGAGACCCCACAAGAGGAAACATCCTTTCAATGCCCAGTCACATTCCCTCGGGATTTTATATGTTTCAAGCAAGTTATCTCCAATTCTTCTAAACCCAAGGATACAGACTTTGCCTCATGAGGAAAGGCTCGACAGATATGTGCCTATTCCACGTATTAGTCTAATAAAACTTCTGAACTGCTACCAGCAAATAACATCCTTCCATAAATATGGTGACCAGTACGATATACATTATTACTCCAGATGTGGTCTCACCAATGTCTTCTATAACTGAAGCATTACCTCCTTCATCTTGCATTCAAGACCCCTTGCAAAGTTCTACTAGCTTTCATGATTACTTGCTTTACCTGCATACTAACCTTCTGTAATTCACGCACTAGGACACCAAGATCTCTCTGTATCCTCTTGCCATTCAGATAATATGCTTCTTTTTCATTTATTTTGTTAAAATGGACATTTTCACACTTTTCCACGTTGTACTCCATTTGCCAGATCTTTGCTCACTCACAAATCTATAATTCCCTGTTGCAAATGTTAAACTAACTAGCTTTAGTTTCTAACTTCTAACCAACTTCTACTTTCTAACCAAAATGGAACCTTCCCTAAATCAAATAGCCTCTGCAAAGTAAAAACCAACACAACTATCTCACTACAAGTTTTAAGATGTTAGGATGAAATCAAGACTCTGACTTGTCAACTCAGTGGCAATTTATTGAGTACTACTTCCCTGGTAATTGTAATTTCATTGAGTCCTTCACTCACTTTCAATTCGAATTACAGCAAGTTGCAGGATGTTGCTTGTACGCTTTCTAATGAAAGCTGGTGCACAATTACCTTATCCTCCATATCTAATTCCCCACACGTTTTCTATGGGGTCAACACTTTCCTTTATGTTTATGTTTTGGGCTAACTTTCTCTTGTGCTCTAATTCTTCCCTCCTTATTACTCCTTAGTAAGTGTTTTTATATTCTGCCCAATCTTCTGACTTGCCACCTATCTTTGCACAATAATGAGCCTTTGAGTTTGATGCTATTAAAACTTAAAACTTTAAGATAAAAAGTTCAGTTGAGGCGGTGGGCCGGGACCTTAGAATCTTTTGTTTGTTGGAATGTATCCATTCTGCACTTTCTGGAATATCCTCTTAAATGTTTGCCACTACATCTTTAATAATCTATCCTACATGATAAATTGCCAGTTCATTTTTTCTAGCTTTGCTTTCCTGCCCTCATAACTGCCCTTGTTTAAATCCCTCCTTATCTGTTTTAAATGTGCACCCCTTATTCTGAGATTATGCCATCGTCCTAGGTGCTGCCACAAAGGGAATTCTTTCTACAGCTTTCCTGTCAAGTCCTCTAAGAATTCTGTATGTTTAACTAAGATTGCCCTCATTCTTCTACACTCCAATGAGTACAGGCCAAATCTACTTGACCCCTCCTCAAAAGAGTCTCTCCATACCTGGTATCAGCCTAATGAACTTTGTCGGAACTGCCTCTGATACCAATGTATCTTGCCTTGGGTAAGGGAGTCAAAACTGTTCAGTATTCCAGCTGTAATCTGACCTTTTTATAAGCAAATCATCCCTATTTTATACTCCATTCTCTGCTCGGCTTGGGTGCTAGCTTCTTTTAATTCATGGGCAAGGACTCCCAAATCTTTTTACTGTCGCTTTCTGCAGTTAAATAATATTCAATTCCTCCATTCTTCCTGCCAAAGTGCGTAATCTCACATCCCCACATTGTGTGCTACCTGCCAAGATTTTGCTCACTCACAACCTGTCTATATACTTCTACAGTGACATCCTCACCACATGCTTTCCCCACCTATTTTTAGGTCAAACTTCCTGTTGTGAAAACATTTCAAGGTGCACCCCGACCCACGTGTCAGCTCTCTCCTTTTCCAAAATGCAGACTCCTTTTGTTTGAACTGCAATGATCTGGATACTCTACAATAGTTCCCTCAAGTAACTTATCTGTAGAAACCTAGAACATAAACTCCCAAACCTGCCTCAGCTCATCTGTGAGCAAAACATTGATTACTGTTTTATCACAAGCAGACGTGACTATTCCAATTCACTCAATCCCACACTCAAACACCAACCTAAAAGTGTCACTTGCCATCTAAGATGCGCCAATCTCAAGACACCCATTCTTCCTTCACCCTATTACTGGCAGCATACATTCACCAAAATTAGCCCCACTGCTTGGGAATGTCATCCCTAAACTTCTGCATCTACTGCTTATCCTCATTCAAAATGCTGCTCAGAGTCCAACTCTTCCGCAAGGTTTTTGGACACATCTATGCCCAAACCAAAGCAAGTTGAAGATTTTTAACAAAACATGAAATTAGAGTCATAGTTAGAGACAGAGGTATACAGCATGGAAACAGACCCTTTCGTCCAACTCATCCACGCTGATTTGACATCTTCAGCTGATCTTGCCCCATAACCCTCAAAACTCTTCCTTTTTACATACCCATCCTGATGCTTTTTAAATATTGTATTTGTCCAGCCTCCACCACCTCCTCTGGCAGTTCGTTCTATACATACACCACCCTCTGCATGAAAATGTTGCCCCTCAGGTCCCTACTAAAATCTTTCCCCTTAAGCCTACACACTCTAGTTTTGGACTCTCCTACCCTGGGGAAAAGACTTTGCCTATTCACCCTATCCATGCTGCAGTATTTTGCTTTCCGTAATATTCCATCATTTATGGTATATTCAAGGCTGTCAGATTGTTATCCCTCGATTCCTTGAGGGATCAATGGGAAGTGGTGACAAAATTAGGCAGAAGATCAGCCAAGCTTACACTTACATTTACCAGACAGATTCCTATTGTATTATTCGATGTTCCTCCAAGGAAACAAAGATGCGCAAAATACTCCATACCTTTATTTCACTAATGAATTAAATCAATTCTGCATAACATTTAGTCACTTACTATGATGTTGAATGCAGTCAGATAACTTCCCAAAGAAGAATTCACGAACATATTCACTTTTTAAGAAAGCTCGAGATGGAGATGAAAACATCTGCCTAATGGATAAAGACAAGAAATCACCTTAATGTACTTGGCAGACTTGGGCAACATTCCATACTAGTAGCAAAATAGTACAATTGAAATGAGCACTCAATCTGATCCAATTATAGTTACATTTGTCAGTTGGTTACAACAGCACTGATTTTCAAGTTTGCATTAAGAAAGACTCTTCATCTCTTTCCTGACCAACTCCTCAGATACAAGATTAGGAACAAATTCCTATTTGAAGTTAATTTCACTTGCTGCAATTTTACAAACCAAGAACTGCTTTTTTTTGTAGCAGTGGAGTCAAGGTACACCATATGTTGACAATGACTGGAGGGCTCTATCAATGTGCATTCCATTGTATGGAGTTTGCCATCAGGATACACATTTTTGCTTTGGTTGAACAGAATCACAGGACAGTTTGTCCTTCCCATTCAGAAGGCAAGATTAGTGCAAGATTTTTTAAAAAATCCTATCAATTCACACAATTTGTAGTGAGCAGCAGAAGCAAGATTAGTAAAAGGTGCTTTAGGGAGGGAAAGATTTAGATATTTGAGGCATTGTGCCAAGTCGTAGAAGAGGACTAATGCCACATTCTTAAATTAAATAGACAAGAGATAGAGAAGGTTGGAAATTAAAACTTAAAAATTTGTCCAAAACTGACATGCAAACGTCAAGAAACAGCCTACAGGCTGCATAGCAGGCATATTGAAAACATACAATTTTGAAAGGTTAAGTATCAAGACAGATCCAAGAGAAGGAAAGGATTACCTGAAGAAACAGAAGCAAATCTCTTACAATAACATGAACAAATGAACGGACTATCAAGAATAAATTAGACAAATAGACAGTTCTGGGCTGACAACTCAACTTTATTTGAATAATACAAAGTGGAGACACATCTTAAGGAAATAGTTTAATGTGCAAGACAGGGCAAAAAGAGATGGTGTGATCTTATGTACAGATCCAAATACCAAACTAACTCAAGTAGTATTTGAATTCAGCAAGTCCATTGGTCAAATCTGTAACTGGTCCCCAAGTCAAAATGCAATTATGGTTGCAAAGCTGTGGAAGCAGGTTAGGATAGTACGTTAAAGTTGTTTTGGGATGCTTTCATTTACTAGAATTAACTGCAAGGACAAAAATATAATAATCAAAATATCATGGTCAAAACTACAAACTCTGTTGACTAAGATAGTTAAACAGCATGGCGAACTGACAACTACATCTGGTTACACACAAGGAGCACAGATGACTGATTTTTAAAATTTTCTCCAACTTGAACATCTATGAAGAAGGGTGGTGACTTAGTTAGCTGGATGACTGGCATGGATTGAATTGGTGCTAATGAATAGTTCAATCCCCATTTAGTATGGGGTGACTCGAGATGTGTTCTTTTGCTAGCCATGGTGGGGATCGCAGGCTCATGGTTCGGATCCGGCTTGAAAAGAGATACTAACTTATGCACAGTGGGCTGTAGAGCCAGCAGCTCAGCTGAAGTAGTCTTTTCCTGCTCTATAATTCTATGGTTCTAATTTTAGTCCATCTTGCAATGACTAAACATTTCACGAATCCAAAGTTACATTTCAATCATTTTCAATTGGCTCTTTGTGCAGGAGCAGTTTCATGTCCAACTTTTGTCCAGGAAGTTTATAGAGCTATATTTAAAGATTAAGGCCTTAACTAATAGCACCAGAACATACATTTATAACTGTCATAATAAGCATAACTAGTAAGCAGAGAAGTAAAGTTTATTCTACTAAAGGCTTACCACAGATTAACAATTATACATGCCAAAAAAGACACAGTTAAAGATCAATGTCTTTCACAGTTTTTAGATGATTTCATACAACCAACAGTTAACATTGGGGCAGGGTGATGTAGAGTATGGTGTTTTTTTTGGGGAGGTGGGGGAGGAGATGGGGGGCAGGAAGGAAAAGAGGAGGGGAGACAGACACACACATTGCATCTCAAATATAAATTATGAAAACAGCTTCAATCTTTCCACTCCTAAAAAAAAACTTATCTTTTCTCTAAAATTCCATGAAACAGTTCCTGCCGTTTCTTGCTAAATTAGGGAAAGCTGTCAGACAGCTGGGTATGAAAACTAGTTTACAAGCACTCTTATATAGCACATCACATTTTCCATCTGTGAAAATAAATACAGGCCATCCACTTGCAGTTACTTTCTTTGTATTGGTTTGCTCAATGTCACCTGGGCTGCACAAACAATGTCAGGGATTCCTTATTGGTGTCCTGGCAGTAGCTACATATAAGGATGGTGTAATTTGGTCAGCACTCCTACTGGGTTGATGATTTTAAGCAATGTTCTTAACTGGATAATTAATGGAAATACTTAGTCTCCAAGGAGATATACAGGACTACAAGACACTCAATAGTCTGGATCTTGTGTACAAGAAAGTAGCCCGAGAGCTGGAGAATCTTCTCTGCAGCAAAGGCCATACAGGAAAATCAGACCAGGGGAAAAAAAAAGTTGCTAAAAGTCACGTTGTCAAGTGTTTTGGACCAATATGGAATACAAGGCAGCTGAAAGAAGGGAAATAACGATCAACTGTTTTAAACTTATGCTGTTGAAAAGTAGTGACGAGTTATAACAGCGCAAAAAGATCATTGCTGAATTTGGAACACTTGAAATGTTGATGTTAAAATCAGAATGAACGAGGAATTGAAACTTTAAAAACTTATTCTTAACTGTGCAAAGCCAAGAGACAGTTAAAGATACATGATAAACAGATGAACAAGAACAAAGAAAACAGTGTGTTAGATTTATTATTTCATTACAATATTTTTTCCTTTACTCATTCACAGGATGTGGACATCATTGGCTAGGCCTATCCCTAATTTAGTGCCAATCCCCAATTGCCCAGAGGACAATTAAGAGTAAACCACATTGCTGTGGGTTTGGAGTCACATGTAGACCAGAACAGGTTGGGATGGCAATTTCCTTCCCTAAAGGGCATTTGTGAGCCAGATGTGTTTTTCCAACAAACAGCAATGGATTCACGGTCACCATTAGACTCTTAACTCCAAGTTTTTTGGAATTCAAAATTCCACCATCTGCCGTTCCAGGATTCAAACCTGGGTCCCCAGAACATTATCTGGGTCTCTGGATAACAGTCCTGCAATAATACCGCTAGGCCATCGCCTCCCCCTTGATAAGCTAAGAATACCACAAGTTTATTCAGACATCAAAATTAAAGAATGTGAACAATGGAAATTCACAAAAATCTAAAATGTAAATTAATCAGACAGGTGGACTGTATTGTAGTAATCGTGGTGAATAACAAAAACACAGACAGACATTCTAAAAAGTGATGTATATTGTCATTCACAAATTTCACAGGGTGGAAAGGAATTGAAGGAGGGGACAGGAGAGACAAAAGTGACATCAAGCACATTTTTGATGAACAGCAATACTAGCATCATCTCAAACTTCAAGTTGCAAGTTTTCCGATAGCACTATATTTCCTTTCTGGAAACTTTCACTTTGAAATGCCAATAAAAATCTTATTCGCAGTAATGAAGTACTACACTAATGTAGATTGAACTGAATTAACCCTGGCTTTAGGTAGATAAACACAGTATGATGAGAACAGCAATCAATTTATGTTTTGTAAACCTAGATAAGTACAAAATGAGACAAAATTAGCACTGCAATTTCATTAATATCCACGCCCACTGGTTACCTTATGGTCAATTCCAAATCGCAATGCCGTCTATCTTCTCTTGCCTGTGAGCTGTGATTTGATGACCGTAATATTGACTTGCCAGAGGCATCAACAGAAAGCTCCTTAGGCAGCTGTATGAAAAAAAAACCGACAGTGTTTCAGTATCTCTCGATAGGAACGTTGGTTCTTGGGTCATGCACAATGAAAAACAACTCCCCTTAAAAATCCTAATTAGGTGGCTCAACACCACCTTAACAACCATTTAGGAATGTGCATTATATTGTTGCCCAGTGACATCACCTTCCAGCAATAAAAAATGTTAACGGGCAGCTTCCATTTAAAGTCCAAAGTTTACAGTGGCAAATATGCCCAGATTTAACAGATGAAAATCAAGCACTCAGTAGCCATTTTTATTCCCCAATTATTAGCAATATAATTTCACAATCCTTCAGGAATCTGATACAAACAATGAAAAATTAAATCACTTCAGTAGAAAACATTAGATTTAGACTCAACCAAACAGCTTCTGATTGATAGAAGTGTGAATGTCAAAAATACTTGTGGTTGGAATCTGACAATCATATCTGTGGTGATTTTGCTGCCATCACACTACAGAGAAACATGCATTACCAAAGAACAATCACTGGTAAGGAGTCACCTTGGAAGGTAGGCTGCTCTAAGAAACAGTCACCTGGTTTATATGAAAACCATGAGCAAACAAAAACAAAATTGCACTCAACCCCTTTCAGCAATGCCAGTTTCAGAAAACACATCCCCTATAATATTGGTATGGGGAGGACAATCATCCTTCTACCAACCCAACAACTTCCATTATAGACTGGCAACTGTTAAGTGTCGATCTTTGCGGCTGCATAATCTTCAGGTATATAAACCATCAGACTCATCTCCATCTGCTCAAGGACAACTAGGGACAGGCAAGAAATACTGGCATGGCCAACAATGCTTACATCTCAGGACCAAGTTTTCAAGTGAGAAAGAAAAAAATGAAAGAGACAAAAATCAAGGAAAAACAGCAAGTACACAAGCACTTGAGCCCACGTGATCAAGTAAGGTTGTTGCACTAAACCATTAAACATTACCTCATGAATACTTTTCAGTCTTTGTTGCACAAAGAGACACAGCAGAGTACCCTTTAATTAATGAAAGCTCTAACTCTTTGAATAAACTGCTAGATCTGTATTCTGAAAACCACTTACTCATTTTTTCAATTAGAACAAAGAATAGACCTCAACTTTTGGCACTTTCAAATATCTTCCGCTCTAACTATCTTTTTAAAAAACTATATAAAGCATCAAATTAGACTGAAATCGAGCCAGTTTCGGGGGATGATTAAAAGGACAAAAGTCATTCCTCGTAAGCTATAAAACCCACTTAGCTGGGGTACTCAGAAGACAATGCCAAAAATTCGCTGCGCTGGTGCATTTCACCTGTCATTAGAATGAACAGTTAAGATCCGGCCACAATTCTGTTCTTCCCATCCTCAAAAAAATGGCTCCATTCTCAAGAATGGAAATAGCCAACCAGCGTAACATATCCAATCATTAATGATTATTAGGATCTACTTTAGTTTCAACTCCAAGAGCACATTCTCCTTGTAAAATGATACTGAGATAACAAATTGCCTTAACCAGATTCAGGGATCTGTATAAGGCCTTCACTTTAACCGTACAAAGCTTTGCCAGAGAATGATGACGACAAACAATAAACCAGAATCGTTGAAAGAGGGCGGGGGGGGGGGGGGGGGGGCACTCAAAATATCAGGAGAGAAATTTGTACCATTAACATTTCCTATTCTAATAAATCAATCTTAACTCAAAGATAGATAGATCTTATTTCTTCTCATCTTTGCCTTCTAAAAAATTTGAAATTTTAGTGAGTAAAAACTTACTTTAGTTAAAAACTCGTGAACCTCTTGATCAGTTTTCCTCACAGTACACATTGAGAAATCGGACCGCATGACCTTAAACGCAATTTTACAAGTGTTATGAATGATGTGACAGATACAATAAATATTATGTTTACAGCACAGAAAGCCATCAACTAGAGTTTACACAGATCTCTTTCCAGGCTAATCTCATTCTCTTGCACACCATTGCCTCAAATTCCTAAAAAGAGTTTTACTCAACTTCAACAGATTATGATTAAAAACTTCCACATTCAATTACCTATTGCGTAAAGATTTTCACATCTCTTATAAAGACAACACCTTTGACAATGGTAACCCTCCACAACACTGCAGTGAAGTGTTAGCCTAGATTACAGGGTCAAGTTTGTGTCTTGAACACACACCTTTCTGATACAGAAACACAAATGACAGCACAAAGTAAGGCTGGCCTTTTTGCAGGTGAATAAATGAACAGCCTTCTTTATCCATTACTATGATGTGATTTAATTCAATTATTTTCAGATTAACAATGATAATTTAGTACATGATCCAGTTAGGTCCATCTCAAACACTAACCCATACTGCACCACTTAATCCGTGATTGCTCACTTTAAAAAGGCCAATTTAAATGTGTACAAATCTGGTTAGCCCACATCCGCGCCCTCCCATTACAGTACAGCTTCTAAAAATGTTCAGAACCTAAAGATTCTGACAATTCATCCAGTTTTTGAACTGAATGATTAAAAAATCAAATATTAAACTTCCCTTTGATGAGTTTTGATGCTTAATTCAAATTACTGGATTGCTGAAACCTCCTTTCTCACACAAAAACAAGTTAACCACCTCTGTTACATAGTAAAGTCATATTACTTGTATAATCTTTTTCCAGGAATGATAAATCATTTGATAACAGTGTGCCTTCAATGTATTCCTCTATTGCAGTCTGTTATAAATGAGTATAGCGAGTACAAAATAAAACAAACACTGAAAGCAATGTCATTTTTCAAAGGCATTAATTATTGAACCTTCCTAGATAGCAAGACCAGCAGTTTCCTCACTACTACAAACGGCAATGACATTATTCAAGCTTAAACACAGGAGGTTAAACTTGATATTAATGAAGCTGTCATTCATTGCAGCTTTTATTTTTGAAAAAGTAAGTCTTTATCCATTTACAATCTCCATGAATTATGCAGTTGTCAACCAAAATCAACAGAAGACAAAGTGAAGGCTTCACACCTGAAACCCGAGCTACTTATTTTGCTATTACTATTAGTGGCTAATTGGCATCAACATTTTTTGTTTTAACTTCAGATTTCTAGCGTGTTTTTGTCTTTGTTGACATCAAATTGAAGATCATCTATTACTTACATCAAACTCCCAGTAGATGTCAGCTCTCTTTTTTGTTAGAGTTTTGAATACAATGTTTTCAATCTGTGCACCTGAAAAACAAAGCCAAGAAACCATATCTGCAAAAGAATCAGTTGAAAATAACTTTTGTTCATTAGAAAACATTGAAACAAACATGCAGTCAGCCATGTTAGTCTTAATTACTTTAGTGACAGGATCTATTGAGGAAACCTTATATTTGTGCTTGTGTTTCAGGAAAGCTAATTTGCAGAAATTCTGGAACCTTCTAAGATTTGAGGGGACATTTACTTTACAGTTGTGGGTTACAAATCAACAGGTCCAAACAATCTATAAGCCATGCATGAGCCCAGCCCAGATTTATAGTGAACAGTGTCAAATTGACTAGGTCACTATTGCACCCATCTCTTCCCCTTCTCCAACGCCAAAAAAGACAAACCGCTATGGAGTCTAGCTGAATCTAAACTGCACTTTTACAAGTCAGACTCAGCGCATGTCTAAAGTGGAAGTTAGTTGCCCCGCAGTATTGAACTTTAAGAGTAAATAGAATTCTATAAAGTAAACAATGATGCTCTGAATATATTGGAGAATTTTGCTTTGAACTGAAAACATCTGAATTCGCTGTAATTTCAGGTTCTTCACATCGCAAGATGGTAGCCTAGACTGAAAGGTACACCAAATTGGACAAAGTTTAAAAAAAGCTTTACCATTTCCCTCCAAGTGCTACAGTACATTAGTCTAACAATTGTCATAACATCATTGCAATGCATATTTCAATACTATCCTCAAAATTCTGGTCAGTTTTCTTTTAAAATTAGAAGTTCATTCACACCCAAAAGGCACGTGACTACTCAAAAAAGTAAGATGGAACAAATCACGTAACCATCAGTACTCTTAAATCAGAGGAAACTTGTTGCAAGGTTTCAATAAGTATATGTGCAATGAGGGGAGTGAATAGTTGAGCAATTATAAAGGCAAATCTTCCAATTTATTTTCATATAATACATAAGCTCTACATTGAGCCATGCAACAGTCAATATTAATATTTAATAAAACCTTAGTATTTTCCTGAATTAACCTCAAAGGTTTCAGTGCCTTGCTGACAACTGTGTTCACTGGGACATCACATGATCCTCAAATATTTCATGGTCAAGAGCAAACAGTGCCTGGGTAGCTCGTCTTTTGGACTGCCTCTAACATCCCAGATCATCGAACAAGGAATGAAATTTCAAGAGAACAAGGCCACCCATCCTTATTTATATAGTGGTCCACTACTATACGTGGTCATTATAAGATGCATGTTGCCATACAAAATTTGATGCTCAATTTTGGCAGAAGTGAGAAAGAAAAGCCAATGGAAGTACTTTCTATACAAAATAAAAAACATTACCATCACATTGTTTTCTTTAAAAGTTAATACACAGATTGCTGTCAAACCAAACAACTCAACATTGCCTCCAATCTGTTCTTGTGCTTTTCTGATGATGTAGAAGGGAGGTCAGCTGATACATTAGACCAGCACTCCCAACCGTAATTAATTATACTCGACAGACATTATACTTATCCCATACAGTTGTGGGAGCTTATTCAAGCCAGTGCAGTACCATCTGGTTACAAGCCAGGGTCCTGTCTAACTTATAAAGTTAATACTAGTCTGCACTACAGACCAGTGCCTACAACCCAAAACAGATAGTATTGATTGTACCTGACCTTGATTAAGCTTCAATGATTAATTAGTACAGTCATCAGATCTGCTTCTTTCACTATTAATTTTAAGTTATTTGTTCTGTTGGGTGATGATACATTTTACCTGCCCAAGTTGAACACCAGGAAAAATTCTGCATATTCTGGGGATCAGTGTGATAAGGCTGACAAAACTGAGGAGCACTAGTAGTCATCGTACTAGCATTCAAACATACGATTATACTCTAGAAAAAGTCTCAATTTTTGAATGGCAATTAGTGAACAAGTTGAGCAGCTCTGTACATTAAGAATTGATTGACAAGAATATCAATGCAATAATTTCAAGTAGGTCAAATTTTACCTGGTCGTTGAGCGATTGCTGCAGCCCCTTCACAAGACGAAGGGGGAGTTCTTTCGTAGTAGTTACTCTCTGCCACCAAGGAATAATTTTTCCTGGCAAGTCGGTCCTTTAAAAAAGGCAGAAAGGAAAATATGAAGGTTTTTTTTTTAAAAAAAGGAACAACCACTTACACCAACTTTTACAACTTCTTTCCCTAACAGAAAAACCTTTTAAATATGGGATTACTGTTTAATACCAAATATCGCAAATTAATTTTGAGAGCTGTATGTTAACAATTTCCCAGAATGACAATTTTTAAAGGGTTTACTGATTTTCTTCAAGCAGCTATTGGTTTTAAGAACTTCCTGCAGTCAACCTCTTCCCCAAATATTGAATAACAAGCTCCAAAGAATTGGATGAAAGTCACAATTCTACTGAACCATTTAATGGTAAATTTATTGAACAACTTAATTTTGATGGCAAACTTTTTTGCACCTAGGAAGATGACAGTGGACAAAGATACCTGCAGCTTTTAAACAATGTAATACTTTTCTGCAAATAAAACATGCCATATCATAACAAGGATAGTAGGAACTGCCAATGCTGGAGAATCTGAGATAACATGGTGTAGAGCTGGATGAACAGAGCAGGCCAAGCAGCATCAGAGGAGCAGGAAAGCTGACGTTTCAGGACCTGCATCGGCAGTTTCTACTATCTCTCCCTAGATTATGTCCTCATTTGTTTTTGAGGTTCTTAACTGAAGCTGAAATTGTCATCATTGAAGGTATACCAAATAAAATATGCAAACTGGCACAAAATCTGATAGCCCTTCATAACCTTTTTGAGGCATTCCACTCCCGGACATCCCAGATGTCCTCGTTTTTCAAG